ACAATTTTGAAGCACTCTATTTGGAGAAGTAGAGAAAATATAGGAAGAGATGCTGGAGAAGAGGAGGGAGGAGAGAGAAATAATTGTAGGGCTCTCTAAATGTAACAAAATCCATTAAGATAATTAAACATAGAAAAGGATAATTAAGTTAAGATAATTACGAGGAATGGAGAGTTAAACTACAGTAATTAGCAAAAAGAGTAAAATATATTATTTCACATCACGAGTAATTCTTTAAGGAAGAGGTCGACTTAGGAAGTGACGGGTGCATCTACTTCAATAATAAAATACTTTAAAGCTGTACTGTACTATTTTAAGAGTTCTCCATGCAAAAGGATCATTGGATGGGTTGGGATAAACAATATTAGGGGTCATTTTATTTAATGGTTTTAGTTGTAAAATTTAATATTAATAATTTTAGTCGTAAAATTTAATATTAATAATTTTACTTGTAAAATTTAATATAATTTAAATTGAATAACACTTTTTTAACAGTTTAAATTAAAAAATTTTATATTCTTATTTTTATATGACTTTATGAGCCACTATTTTCGTCATCATTTAACTGATTGAATGACTCCAATAATACCGAAAAATTAAATTTAAGGATCATTTTGGCATTTTCTGAAGTTTAGCCATCATTTTGGTCCAAAACTAAAAGTTTAGGTACCCAATTTTGGTGACTTAACATGAGAAATGACAACTGCAGGAAATAATTTCATTGGCAGTGGCCTGATTCATTCATCTACTTTTTTTGTACATAGTTCATCCATTCTCCATCAATGAATCAATTTTTGGTAGCGTATTCATTTCAATGAAGAAAGGTGTGTACATACAGAGTAATTTACATTGTCAAGAAAATGATTGGGGTCTCATGGTGGGCCAAGTCCTTTCTTCACCAGCATATCATAAACTCTATCAATCTTGCACGGTTCCATCTCAAACAAGCGATGAGCATCCGATTTCTTTGTGACCTTGCCCCTGAAGATCTCCTCTGAGATGACTTGCTGCATCTTTAGATAAAGAGGTGGAGGCAATCTAGTGTCGATGCATAGGCACTTCTCCTGGAAGTCCATCAAAATAACCGGCTTCAACAAATAAAACCAACCAAAATACAAAGGAAAATACGTATATATGCTGTTGGTATTAGTGTGCTTACAGATTCAGACAATAATTCCGTTTCCTTGAATCCCATAATGTCTAGAACACTGAAACTGCTAGATGAACCCTGTCCTGTAGATGCACTTGGACCTCCTTGACTGCTTGGCCCAACTTGAGCACCTTTGTCTTCTCTTTGGGATAACTCTTCAGCTTCCCGTTTCCTCCTCTGTTCAAGATATCGGTATGCCTCGGCTGATGTACGACAACCAGCAGCTCTGGCTTCCTACATTGTTTATAAAAAAAGGAACAAGAAGACAGTAAGGATATTTGAATTATATTTATATAATTAGGAGGGATTCTATCCAAAGAAATAGCAGAAGAATGAAGCGGTGAATCAAACCTTTAGTTCTTGAATTCTTTTCAGAATTCGGCGCTCATTAACAATAGTCTTAAGGAAGTCTTCATGCTCCTCCTTTGAGTGAAATCGCATGAAGACATCAAACCTCCTGCATAGTGCTATCTCTTCAGGAGACAGGTCCTTGAAAAATGGATTTGGGTGCAGCAAATTTCTTTCTAGTATGAAATCCTTTCTTCTTTTCCTTTCATCCAACCTGCCAAAGTATTTTCAATGATGATTTAGTAGAAACTAAAACAGTAAATGTAAGTCCAAAGGATATCAAGACCGAGCCTACCTTTTGTTGTAGATGTGCAGCACTCGTAGCTTAAGTTCACGATCCTCTTCTGTGTCAGAGTCCCTGAATTCCATATCAGCCAGCAATTTCTCAGCATCATTATCGTATTCAATATCAAACTCCTGTCTTTTAGGATTGTAACCACTAATCTCCATTAAAGACTGGTCATCATTTCTTGAAGAGCTTTGTTTCTTCCCCTTCAAATTTCTGCCAGCTTGAGGATCTATAAAGCAGAGATGACCATAGAAATATTGTTAATTTGTAAGAATGGCATATAAACCCAGTGAAAGAGAAATGAAGGATGCATACCTTCCATTTTAATAGCACCAAGGCCATCTTCAGTATGGACAGTGTTGGCTGCATTGCTAGAGCATGCCTTGGACTCTCCCTCTGAAAATTATCAAATGAAGGCAAACATATGAGGATTCACTAATAAGATTATTTTAAAAGATGTTGAAAGAACCAAAGAAATAAATGAGCTCCTCTCGAAAATTCTAATATAACCTTTCTTGTCTTCCCCATTTACTTCAGCCATGGCAATGAGCTCCTCTTTGTTTTTCCCAGCCATATGAGACATGTCCTTCAATGGGAAAGAAGAAATAATTAGTTTATTATTTTCGTGACAAGTCAGGATAAATAGAGTGGAAAAAACTTTCTTCAACTTCAACTTTCTTACCGGGAGAGGGAAGCATGGGGAGTTCAAATATACATTTGTATAGTGCTCAATGCACTCTTCTTTGCTCTTTGTGCCGACATGCTCGGCAACTGCAGCCCAGTTTCCAAATCCATGCATCTCAAGTCCCTAAAAGAATCAAGAAAGTACATATTAAGTACTAGTTTCATGTTATTTTATGTATGAGATACAACACAGAAATTTTCAAAGGATTGACCCTGGCTTATCTATAATTTCTATGACTTCAGAATTGAAAAGATGAAAGTCAAAAGTACCTCTAGAAGCAATGTTTCATCTTCTGCATTCCAGTCAGCGCAGAAAACTGGGAAAGATAAATTATCCTGTGGAGATAAAAGTGCGAAAGGTGACTACCAAGGATATTTCTAAACTATATGTGTCAGAGATAAGTCCTCAAATAATATTCAAAAAGTAAAAATGTGAAATAAGAAGAAAGAAATGAGAAACGATAACAATACAGAATTAAATTAGTAAAAAGAGATGTAAAAGGCATGCAAAAATAAAAATAATGCTAGCAAAAATGTTCCTCATACATAGAATGAAGTTTTCTAATCATTGGTAATGTAAACCATCAAACTCTAATTCAGAAAGTAATCCACCAAGAATTTTTTTTTGAAGGTTTTCTCACCATAACCCTGTAAGAATGGCTGTTTTTGTGAGGTGTCAACTCAGCTCCAACTGAAAAGCACTGTACACATAAATCAAAATCAGCACATTCAGCACATTTAATTCGGACCTGTCCTGTGATGTCCTTGTTGCAATAGTTGCAGTGGTATAAAGCTCTTTTCCCTTTATCAGAACCTTGACCTGGAAGAAAAGGAGAAAAAATGTCATGAGTCAATAGTATGAAATATCCATTTTACGGTACCTGTAGAATCAGACAAGGAATATCCATTTTATAAAGACCACTTGATGCAGACAAGGAATATCCACTTTACAATACAATATAATTCTGAATATTTTGGAATTAATTTGAGATGCAATGGAATCCTGGCAACTCAAATTATTTCCTAAATATTCATAATTATAATAACATCTGGTATTATAGTATATAGATATCACAACTCTTCCTGAACACTTATAATTTAATGTAAACTGAAGGCATGCTCAGGTAGTGTCAATAATTTTGTTAGAATCATAAAATGACCAGTAGTACTGTAGTATCATTTTGATATAGCAGCATATAAACCCATTGTATGTTTCAAACCTTTAACTGGAATTTTCATGTAGATATATGGCAATAGATTGCTAACATGTTATCAGAGTCTTAATTACAATTAAAATATATATTACTGGCCAATGAACATCATCCAACCAACATTGGAAAAAGTTTCAACACTCCCATTATTTGAACTGATATTATCCTTGGCGTCAAAATTTATGGTATTTACCTGAAGATGATTCTAAATTTTCTCCAGTTGTGGCCCTCTTTCTTCTCCTTGATCTGCAAACAGAAGTAGATATTCAGAATACTCAATGAAAGTGTCAATAATCTATCCTATTAGAATGCACAAGTATAAATGAACAGGTGAAAATAATTCAAAAACATCTTTATTATTCTACATTCAAACAGTAAGGCAACCAAGAGCTAGGAAAATCTCCATTTTGCATTATCCCAGTCTCTCATACCATGTTCTAATTATCAAATTCTCTGACATGCCCTTCTCTCTCACATACTTCTACCCTAACTAAATTAAATGAAAAAGACTCCAAATAAGCCCATAAACCATTTCTGCTTAAGCAATTAAGTAAAATGTTTTACAGTGTCAAATAATACCCTCAATGTCTCAAATTGTAGAAATTAGCCCAAAATGGATGGCAAATTCAAGAGCATCACCTAATTGCCTTATGCTGGCATGTAGCTGCCAACATTAGGCTGATTTTTGTAACTTGACAAATTAAGGGACTTATTTTCAACAAAAAGAGCTATAAGCCCTCGAATTTCAGTAATTAAGAAGTTGAGGGTGGTTACTAGGGGGTTTTTCCTAACCAAAATGTAACATTCCAAAACTCCAGAAATGTGTTTTACCACACACACACACAACACACAAAATACTCCAGAAATGCAGGAGTTCACTTTGAGTCGCAATTAAAACAACTGGATTAAATCCTTCATAATTCAACTCAAAAGAAGATAATCATAAGTTGTTAAAAACATCAAAACTAAAAAATTAAACTCAATGGTTCTTGAAATGGAGGGAACCAAACCTTTGGGAAAGGTCTACATCACCAGCTTGGGAACTACTGTGAGAGCGAGCCATATTTGACTTTAGAAGTTGATTGAGCTCACGTTTACCTGTAGAATCAAATATATTTGTTTGTTTGCTTGTATGCTAAATACAAATACAGAGACTCATTTATAGTGCAGATAAACCCTATATTTCTATGGAAAGTATGCAACTTTGGCAATAAAATCTGCAAACTTGGTAAGTAAATCCAAGATAGGATATGCAAATACTGGGTGTTAGCTCAGATACATAAATTTTGAGATTTTTTTAACCTTTATTAGGATTGTAGAATTCTGTGTTATACCAAGCAAAAACTGCAAGCCATGTGAATGCAAAAGTAAAAGAGTCATGGAAAGTGCAAACTGTGGACTCTGCTGGGTGGAGCTTATTCTTTTCTAGGATTTTTCTTCTATGGCAGTGGATTTTATAAAAAGAAAGTGAAGTTGCCATCTCAGGTGGAATATACAAAGCTGAACGAAGCCCGAGAAAATAAAGTGGTAAATGGATTGGGTTAAGGGCCATCTTGGGCTAATTTCAAGCGTGAATATGCTAACCTAATTAAGTTGCTGGCTTTGTCACCAAGAAATTGAATCAGCCCTTAAATACAATCATCACCTAGATGGGTTGGGTCACCAGTAGATTTCCCTGGACCATGATCTGTGGGTTGGATCATGAGTTGTGTAGGGCTGGATTAACAGACTACAGACACTTGGCTAGACATAACCAGGTCCACCAGATTGGGCCAGGCATAATCCTTTGACCCTAGTACCGTCTTTTGCAGGACCAGATCCAAAACAGGCAGTACCATGCCAAATCTAGAGTGGCCCAGCTCATTTGAAAGCTTAGACAATCATATAAAGGAGTTGGAGTGGTTATGTCAATTTTCTTAAAATAATAATTAGTGAACAATCGCTGAACTGCTCACTGCAAAATAAATACTGTCATTGGTTTAACTTTTAAAAAAAGAATCATTATTTGTTTGAAAATCTTAAAATAAAATAACATGCATGCATGTAAAGCCTACCAGTAGATTTCTTCTTCCTTGATAATGCTTGGATTGTTTTTGAAACATCAGTGTCTCCAGTTTGTTCCACGACAGCAGGAACAGGTGATGCTAATGAAGTAGTTAATGTCTGCGACAATTCAGGATTCTTCTCATCATCCATAGAGGAGGGTTGCATGGTATTCAGAGGTAAAGGAACAAGGGTATAAAAGAAGAATTTTGAAAAGTTAGAGATGACAAAGCTTTTATTAGATGAATGGGATGGGCAAACAGATGATTGAGAGGTAAAATTTATAGTCAGTGGGGAGGTAGTGGAGAGATGGGGAATTTGAACAAGAATGGAAGGAAAATGAAAAGGCAAAATAGGAGAAATAAATTTTTTGGCTGTATATACCTAACCATGACTATTTACAAAAAATATATAGATTGGAAAATAACACCGTTAACACAGAATTCTTACTTCCCATTTATGAATTTAATTGCAAATACATGGGTAATGAAATACCAATCTGTGTTAACATTAAGTGTTAACGACGTCCTAGTTATTAAAGTTAAATGAAAATGTAGGGTGCATTGCGCATCCCATCATTAGTTGTTTACCAAAATCGGAGTACAGACCTAGATTTGTTAGCTGAAAAAGCAAAATCCACATCTTCTCTCATTAATTTTGAATGGGTTTGTCTAACTTGTGCCCTTAGAGCACAGGTTACGGGAATTACACTTTTTCACATTTAATCTCTATATAAAATCACAAAAGTTAACCTTATTTTTATCACAAATGTCACATGGAAGCTTTTAATTGGACAATTAATAAAATTAAAGTTAAATTCTAATTTTTCAATACAAATTAATTTTAAAAAGTACAATTACTACACCCATAACCTGCACCCTAAGGGAATAGGATGGAAAAACACTTTTTGAATTTATCTGCAGTTTTGTCAAGGTCAAAGTCCATATACATCCAGACTATTTAGTCTTTCTTTTCATTTCATTCCTCTATTTGATATTTTTAATTATAATTGAGGCTAGTGAAGTTTTAAGAATTCTTTAGATGGAAATTTCACTATTTATTTAATCAAAAAAAGTTGCACTTTTTGTTTTAAAAAAATTTAGAAAAACACAATTCAAAACCATAAGAAAACTAAGCTAAAACCAAACACAATTTCATCCATATGGCTTTCCACATCAAGCCAAAAAGAGAAATAATTATGAAATTTCAATTTGTTTTTGTTACCTCTTCTCTCTCTCTCTCTCTGATATTGGAGAAGGGAGGATTCAAATTGATTTCTTATGGATAAGAGAACATCCACCTTACCAACAAAGCTAGGGTCTGGAGTATCTGGTGCTTTTAACTAGTTCTTTTAGCTCATTTATTCAGATTTGGCCTGTATGTATATAAATTAAAATTCTTTTATTATTAGAATATTTTTCTTTTTAAATAGGTTTTCACAGTCCTTACCTAACCATGACTATTTACAAAAAAATATATAAACTGGAAAAAACGCCGTTATCATGGAATTCTTACTTCCTTTTCATGAATTTAATTACAAATATATAGGTAATGAAATACCAATCTGTATTAACATTAAGTGTTAACAGCGTCCTAATTATTAAATTTAAATGAAAACGTAAGGTGCATTGCGCATCACATCATTAGTTGTTTACCAAAATCAGAGCATAGACCTAGATTTGTTAGCTGAAAAGGCAAAATCTACATATCCCTCTCATTAATTTCAAATGGGTTTGTCTAACTTGTGCCCTTAGGGCACAGGTTAAGGGAATTGCACCTTTTCACATTTAATCTCTATATAAAATCACAAAACTTGACCTTATTTTATTACCAATGTCATATGGAAGCTTTTAATTTGAAAATTGATAAAATTAAAGTTAACTTCTAATTTTTCAATACAAATTAATTACAAAAACTGCAATTACTGCACCCTTAATCTGCACCATAAGAGCACAGGATAGAAGAACCCATTTTGAACTTATCTACAGTTTTCTCATGGTCAAAGTCTATATACATATTGCAGACTATTTAGTCTTTCTTTTCATTTCATTCCTCTATTTAACATTTTCAATTATAATTAAGGCTAGTGAAGTTTTAAGAATTCTTTAAAAGGAAATTACTATTAATTTCATCAAAAAAAATTGCACTGTTTGTTTTTAAAAAATTTAGAAAAACACAATTGAAAACCATAAGACAACTAAGCTAAAGCCAAACACAATTTCATCCGTGCAGTTTTTCACATCAAGCAAAAAGGAGAAGTAATTATGAAATTTCAACTTTTTTGGTTATCTCTTCTCTTCTTTTTTATTTTTATTTTTTATATATTGGAGAAGGGAGGATTCAAATTCATTTCTTATGGATAGGGTACATGCACCTTACCAACAGTGCTAGGGTCTAGAGTGTCTGGTGCTTTTCACTAGTTCTTTTCGCTCATTTATTCAGATTTGGCATGTATGTATGCAAAATAAAAGTCTTTTATTATTAGAATACTTCTCTTTTTAAATTGGTTTTCACTGTCCTTACCTCACCTTGACTATTTACAAAAAACATACAGATTGGAAAATAACTCCGTTATCACAGAATTCTTACTTTTCTTTTACAAATTTAATTACAAATATCCATAGTGTTAATGGCATCCTAATTATTAAATTTAAATGAAAATGTGGGTGCATTGCGCATTCCATCATTAGTTGTTTACCAAAATTAGAGTACAGACCTAGATTTGTTAGCTGAAAAAGCAAAATCTACATCTTCCTCTCATTGATTTCGAATGGGTTTGTCTAACTTGTGCCCTTAATGCACAATTTAAGGGAATTGCACCTTTTTATATTTTTAATCTCTATATAAAATCGAAAAAGTTGAACTTATTTCACATGGAAGCTTTTAATTGGACAATTGATAAAATTAAAGTTAAATTCTAATTTTTGAATACAAATTAATTATAAAAAGTACAATTAATGCAACCTTAACTTGTACCGGATAAAAAAACCCTTTTTGAATTTATCTGCAGTTTTCTCATGGTCAATGTCTATCTACATATTCCAAACTATTTAGTCTTCCCTTTCATTTCATTCCTCTATTTGATATTTTTAATTATAATTAAGGCTAGTGAAGTTTCAACTTTTAAGAATTTTTTAAAAGGATATTACTCTAAATATTTAATCAAAAAAAATTGCACTGTTTGTTTTTAAAAAATTTAGAAAAACACAATTGAAAACCATAAGAAAACTAAGCTAAAACCAAACACAATTTCACGAATTATGAAATTTCAATTTTTTGGGTTATGTCTTCTTTCTTTCCCTTTTTTTTTTTGGATGTTGGAGAAGGGAGGATTCAAATTCATTTCTTATGGATAGGGGAACATGCACCTTACCAACAAAGCTAGGCTCTAGAGTCTATGGTGGTTTTGCTAACTAGTTCTTTTAGTTCAATTATTCAGATTTGGCCTGTATGTATATAAAATAAAATTCTTTTATTATATTTTATCTTTTATTACTAGAATATTTTTCTTTTAAAATAGGTTTTCACTGTCCTTTTAGTTTAAATTTGTTTATTTAGTGTCTTAATAACAGCACTTTAGATATTTATTTAGTTTTTTGAATTATTTCAGAATTTATTTAATTTCTCATTTTATTAAATTTCTATGTAAAATTTTAGGTGTTTTTAATAGAAAATTTTCTTTTTATTAAAAGAACATAATTGTTCTTTTATTCTTTGTAAAGTAATTGCAAATTCAATTGGGATTTTTTTGAAAGAATTTATTTCACTTTTTGTATATATATATATATATATATATATATTTTGGTTCAAAGTCAAGTGCATTGGAAAATCCAGTTATGCTCCTGGTGAAGATCAATTGTAAACATGGTTTTAATAAAGACAAACATTTTAAATAACCCAAGGTTCCCTAAAAGTTATGCATGCAATAAACCCAACAATGTCATTGAATAAATGAGAAAAAAAAGATAAAGCAATATATGCAGACCATAAAACATGCCTTACAGTTCCATCAAAGTTGTTCCGCTGATTGTGTCCTTGCCAGAGAATGCAAGTGTCTTCAGAGCATTCACTGCTGTAGTTACAGCAGAACTTGAATTAGTTTTACAGACTTCTAGTATAAAAAAAATAAAAATAAAAAAGATTATTGAAAAATGGGACGCAAGCCAGTTCAAATGAATAAAAGGCATAATTTTGAATTATTACAACCATCATCAGTAAATTAAGCATTTACACACTATAGGTATGAGGTATGAAAATGAAAATAGCAAAGCAATCATAATGATGATTGAACTTAGACAGCTATTGGAAGATATTGTGAGCTTAGACATCAAGTCATCAACAATGAATTATCAGAAGTACTATCAAAGAAATATAAAAAAATAAAGATTGTGGAGATATACTCCTGACATTGAGACAACTTTATTAATATCTTCATTGAGACAGTATCAAGGTAGATAAGCCTACTATAATATTTCAGATATCAAAACCAGATTAACTCTTTACAGATGCAGTTCATTCTCTAATGTTTCTTACCCTTTAGCTGAGGATGTCGCAAGAAAATAAAAGATTCAACCAAATGGAATGAAAGCTTATTCTCTATGACACAAATATTTGATTATGGGAGCAAAGTTTTGTTGTCAGAGTTGCTAATGAACTAGAAATTACAGACTGTACCTTTCAAAATTCAAAGTCATGAGAAAGAATTGAACGAATTTAAAGTAATGTTATTATGCTTGGTAAAGACTAAAAAAAAATGTCCCTTAGAGAAAATGTGGAAATTCCATAGGCGGATAAACATGACAAACAGGCCGAGATCAAACCTTTAAAACCCCTAAAATACCAAAGTTCCTCCCCAGCAGGTTATATTCTTTGAGTAACACCCCAGAATTACTATCGTGTTTCCCATTCATAGTATAAAAAGTGTGTATGTCTTGGATAACTAAAATTAGAACACTTGAAATCCAGACAACGCGTGTGCAATTCATTTAAACATCAAAGAAGAGGCACATTGTGCAATTATAACTTGGTGCAACATAATGCTTACAATAGACAGCATGCATACCTCAGATTCCTCGATCTTTTCCAAAAGAATCTGCATCTTGACGGGCTGTGCCTAGACCCTCCAAACAAGAGAAGGGTGATTAAACAACCCCTCTAGCAGCAAAATTAAAACTTGAACTACAATGATAAACAGTTAAACAATTACTTAATGTTATAATCACAACACTACTTTCCAATTTCACCAGATAAAGAAAATTCATTGAGCAAAAAAATAAAAAGAGTTTTACCTGCTTTTTTTGCCACAGCATGTATGATTCTTTTGCGAAAAAATTCTGTGCATGAAATACAGTATAACAATTCCAGAGGAATCAACAGCACACCCATTCTTCTTCCGACTCTTCCTGAAAGAAACATTAAGCAAATCGAAAGATTATCGATGTATTCGTGAGGCTGCGAAATTGAGAAAATCGAAATTCAACAGAAGCTGAAAATTACCTGAAACTCCCGACATGTTTCAGTTTCTCACGGGCTTGCAAAGAGAAAATCAAAAACTTTGATTAAGGAGTTTCTCAATTTCGAAATGAGCAAAATCTAGAAGTTACTAGAAACTCGGAGATTGAAGACGAAGAAACTGATAGACCTAATGCCATTCATTCTCTCGTAAATAACCAGGCGATCAAACATCGGTATTTTTGGAATAGAGTATTAAATAATAATAAAAATATTAAAATAATTTTAATAAATTAATATAAAAATATATATAAAGAAATTTATTAATAATATTTAAATAATTTTATAAAATTCTTCACGTATTAGAATGTATTAATTTATGTATACTTTCTTTTGTCAATAAAAAGATTAAAAATAATTACAATATTTTGAAAATTAGAATGTTAAAAATAAAAATAAAATATTAAAACATATTTAATAAATTAATATAATAATAATAAATTATTTAAAATATTTAAATAATTTTATAAAAACATAAAACAAGTTCTTGGCATTTTGCTGTGCAAACTCTTACTGACATTTTTTTTTTCTCTTAATATTTACTATTTTAGAGCAAAATTAATTCGTACTAATTTTTAATTTTTAATATATGTGCAGGATTAAGTATTAAAAAAAATTAAAATTTTAAATATAAATTTTAATTTTTAGATTTCAAGCATAATTTATTAAAAATACTTTTTTATTAATAAATTTAACTATTAAATTCTGCTAATAATAATATTAAATAATGAAGGGGATCACTCTATCATTAGTCCTTCATAATGGAGATAATTACTGTTTCGTAAGTCAATACCATTTTTTTACAAAATATTTTTCTAATTTTTTATAATTTATTTTTAATCTAATTATTTATTACCTAGAGTCTCGTAGATCCTTTTAAAAAAATCAATGGTTTATCTAAGTTGGACGGGCCGAGAACGAACAACCAATGGCTAAGAACAACTAACAGCCCTTAAGCTTGGTTTGGCTTTTGGGGAAGAGAAATAAAATTTTTTATTTGAAAAAAAAAAAGGTAAAAAGGAGGGAAATTTTTCCCAAGTTTAGATAATGATATGTGGGTAACTTGTTTTAACAAACTATTTTTTTAGTGCTTTTACATATCATTAAATAATTGAATATATGAAATATCATTGATTCAAATAAGTATAAAGAGTAAATTTTAAATAAAAAATAAATTTGTATGAAAAAATTATATAAAAGAATTATTACTAAATAAATTTTCTTTTAATTTTGCTTCTAGTTTCTTTATGTATTTTAATATGTCCAAATGAGAATTACCCAAAAAAAAAAAAAAAAAGGAAAAATGAGGGCAGGGCTTTTTCCTCTGACCAAACAAGCTCTTAGTGTTTCCAAAATGTAGCAGTTGGTACCATGACATTCCTAACTTGTGCTCTTATAATTGAATGCTAATAACCATGGAGAAAACATATTTACTATTTACGTAATCGTTAGTGCTTAAGTGTTTTAAAGTTAATCATTAGGTCTTAAGTTTAAGTTGTATTATATATAGGTGAGATGAGAATTATCTTTTATTATACAATTTAAAATTTAAAAATGTTCTAAGAATATGTTTAAAATTGTTGTATATATACCAACAACCTAAGTAATTTAGTGGTCATCTTTTTTCACTGGAAGTTTCGATTCGCATGATATGCGGGTAAGGTAAGATAAAAAATGAGAAATGATTGTCTTCCATTATACAACTAAAAAAAAAAAAATGTTGCATATACTACTTTTGCAACGAGTGCTTTAAAAAAAGGCCAAACCCCTTATTTGCACTTTCCATTTATTTTTTTTTCACGGTCAACACCTTCCAAAATTTTCCTCCCTATTCACACCCTCAATTTTTCAAAACCCGTAAAAAAACTCAACATTTTAACGTGCCGTCACGATACCGTTACAAAATGCACTACGTGGCACCCAAAAATTGACGTGGCCACTCTGTGCCGTTAGTAATCCAATATGGATGCCTTTTCTTGATGATGTGGCTTAACATGGCATAATTTTTATATGAAAATTTTCCAACCAAAAAAAATAAATAAATAAATAAAGAACAAGAGCTCTGGGTTCCTTGTGAGGAACCCGATCTGGGTTCCTCACGACGAGGAACCCAGATCGAATTCGAGCTGGGTTCCTCACGACGAGGAACCCAGATCGAATTCGAGCTGGGTTCCTCAGGAGGAACCCATGACCTGAGGAACCCAGATCGGGTTCCTCTGGAGGAACTCAGCTCGGGTTCCAACCCAACCCAGATCGAGTTCGAGCTGGGTTCCTCCCGAGGAACCCAACTCGAACCCGATCTGGGTTCCTCATGACGAGGAACCTAGAGTCGGGTTCCTCATGGGTTCCTCGGGAGGAACCCAGCGCGAACCCGATCTGGGTTCCTCACGACGAGGAACCCAAATCGGGTTCCTCACAAGAAACCCAAACCTCCTTTCTTTTTTTTTTTGGGAAATTTTCACATAAAAATTATGCCATGTCAAGCCACATCATCAAGAAAAGGCATCCACGTTGGATTATTAACAGCACAGAGTGGCCACGGCAATTTTTGGATGCCATGCAGTACATTTTGTAACGGTACCATGACGACGTGTTAAAATGTTGGGTTTTTACGAGTTTTGAAAAATTGAGGGTGTGAATAGGAAAGAAAAATTCTGGAAGGTGTTGATCGCGAAAAAAAAATAAATGGTGGGTGCAAATAGAAGCTTTTGCCTTAAAAAAAAAACTCTACTTTTTTTATGGTAAATCTTGAGATTCATTAATGAGAAATAGAGATTACATAACAAACCATAATATAAATCCAAGCGGAGGGTATGAAAGCTACACCCATAGCAACTAATAGTAGGTGATACTACTCTTAAATATATCTAGGCAATTTAGAATAAGAAACCACCTAATGCGAAGAATTACAAAAGTAATCACCGTAACTGAATTAATTGTGCTGCAGAGTAGATAGACTACAACTATGAGAATCCTTCGCCACATGACCTCAACCTCGAATTTCTGGTCTTGCATTTTCCAAGAAAACTCCTTGCACTTCTTGGATCCCACCACCTGATTTCCATCAACCATATATAGCCACCTTAAATGTAGAAACAACCTAACTCTTCGGCGAACCGAATCAATCAAAATCAATATCGGCTTCTTACTAACCATGCCAATCATGTTGAGAGTATGATATGATGTCTCCCCCATAATAGCATGGATTGAAATTTGTGGCTCTTCAATAGATGTCATCTAATGCAAACAATACTCGTCAAATTCTCTACTCAATCCATAATCAACAGAATCCTCATTGGGATAAATCTCTAAATTGTATAGTTGTTTCTTGGCGCATTTGTGCCCTGGCATATACTTCTCATCACACAAAAGCCCCAGTACTTCCTATTCCCAATTTTGCTGCAAATCTTCTACTAGCCATGATTAAGTTTAATTAATAAGGTTGACTTCCTTGCATTTATGGTACGGATGGTCTTAAGGGTTGGTTATTTCTAGCAACATAGTTCTTTCAAATCAACAATACATTGAATGAACTTAAGTCAGAAATAGCTTGAATGTATATCAAGGGGGAAGCATTGCAATGGTTAGAAGCATATATGAACAAATAGGGATTGGCCAGCCTTGGAACAGTTTTGCAGAGATATTTGTGTGCGTTTTTGTGTGGTTACCTAGGACTAGAAAGTGATTGAGTGGAAAAACACCAAGCACGAGGGGTTTGTGCCTGAGTACCAAATGGATTTTGAAAAGATCAGGGCTAAGGTGTCTTGTAGTGAAGAATTTGTTGTTGATATGTTTACTGGGAGCTTAAAGAGGACATAAGGTATGCAGTCAAATGTTTAAATTCCAAAACCCTCACTAATGCCTTCTATAGCCTAGTCACATGAAGCCAACTGTAAAAGCAACTTGAATTCCTTACTCAAGAAAGGATATTGTTTGGTAAAGTCTCCAATTTAACACAATGCACAACTCATTTATTAAAAAATTATTATTTTGTAATCTAAATTAAACATAAATAAATTTAAAAATACAATCATATATATAACATATAAAAATTGACTGAATTAATTTTATTTATATTATATTTTAATAATTAAACTAAGTGAGTATCGAAAAATGTGTTGAACTAGACAAAATACTAACTATTTTTCCTTAAGAAAACCAAAGTTGCAACTTGGACTCTACCAAAGAACCACCTAACCAACTACAACCTAACTCCTACTCCACCAAAAAAAAACTTACCTTTTTAACCAAAGAAATAGTGCTTTCCTATCGTCTGCTAGCAATACAAACTCAAAACTTAAAAACACCAGAACCCTATTTAAATTCACACATGAAGATAAATTATGCTAATATATGAAAATAGATTTGATATAATTTGAAAAAATATATCAAATAAACCAGAAAATCTTGTCATGTCATAATATTTATTATATTACTTTGAAGTCACTAATACTATTTTTAGAGTGAAATTAGATTATCAATTAACTAACACTTTGTTAAGATGTTTGCAGCCGAAAGAAAAACATTCCTTGGCACTTCAACATATTTTCACTTCAACTACATATCAAGGTTGTTGATCTTATACTATATTGACCGATATAGTTGATACATATTAGTTTGAGAGTAAAAATGGTACACTATACTTTAAATATCGTACTAAGTCAAATACCAACTATATCAGTTAAATACCAACTGTACTAGCCAAAATTTGGTGTATTGGTCGGTACACATAAACAACACACAAATAAAAAAAGTTGAAAAAGAAAGGGGAAAAAAAGCTTAAATGCAAAATGCAACCTAAAATATAATCTTGATTATACCCAAATAAGACAAGAAAATAGAAGGAGAACTTGAAAAATGTGGCTTTCCTTTGAAGCCTAATAACATAGAGTATGAAAGAAAAGCTAGCCATAACAACTCTTAAAAAATTACAGAAACCTCTTAAATAACAAATATAGAGCGTCATCAAAATATTGAGTGAGAAAAGTGAAAGTTTTAAAGAGAGAAAAGTTGAATAGTGTGTTTTAGATTGTTAATGATTAGAAGAAGAAAGGGCTGTAAAGTTAAAGCATATTGGAGGGATTTTGGTCCTCAAAAAGATAAATGGGGGATGGGATTATATGTGATAGATTTAAGTTCACTTATTATGACAAATTAATTCTAATTTATTCTCTTTTTAATACTATATAAATATTATGATGTATGTTAATATTTGTAAATATAATTGTAAAAGTTTATATTTAATTTATAAAAATTATATTTATAGTGGGGAATTCAAAATAATATACGATATTATCCAATATACACTACATATATGTCAAACTAATAGCAAAATCATTATGCATGTTGGTATAATACTGACAACCTTGCTACATGTCATATACTTTGACTAGCTACCATAAAACCTCTCAAGGTTTCATTTGAGCTATATATGCCGTAAAACCTCTCAAGGTTTCACCTCGACTGCGTTCCAAAGGAGTCACAATTCTCGTAAATCAACTAATAGCCAGAGGGGTTAGTGTGAAAATATGTCTGAAAGCCCTTGCCAAATCACCATTCATCCAACCTGCCAAAGTAAACCAGGCCAATGAAGGCCGAATTGAGCCCCTCACCTTAGACTGGTGACTATTGCATGAGGTCTCAGCCTTAGCAATAACCAGGCGCAATTGCATGACACTTCCATGGACATATTGCATACTTGACAGTCTTCTTCAACCACTGTAAGTCTAACTGTACCATGTGGACATTATTTCTTTGGGCTTATAAATATCTCACGTATTAATTCCAAGGTACATTCCTTACCTAATTTTCTCTCCTTCCATTTTAGGCAACTAAGTCAGATATTACTAATTTAATTATCAGAGTGTTTGTCCAAAATTCACTCTCAAATTTTCGAGTGATCCCATTCGTACAACTTAAAATTTGACAAATAAGATGCAAAGCTAATTCGTGCATTTACATGCCAAAGTAACAAAGTCGGTTGTATAATGATCCCTGACTTTCACAGCATGTAAAAACCGGTGAGCAACCACAATATTTATAGTCACATTTATGATTTATCTTCGTCCTCGCCACCCCCTGCACCTCCTGTTTTGGAATCGCGACAAACATTGCGAAAAATGGCAAATCAATCCGTTTCAGTATATTTAATTTGTTCTTGTTTTAGTTACATCAAATTCAAGAGATTACAATCTCATTCTTAAGGAGAATGTATATCAATCAAAGAAGATGTTATTTTCAAAGAATGAGATTTGGGACCATTTAAAGATATTACCAAAACATAAAAGAACGTCCGGAGCATTGATGTCATTAGACATTTGCATATCATTTCAACATTTTGAATAAAACTATAGAAAACATGGAAAAAAGCCATATATATATGTGTGTAGGTTTTGGCCTGCATAATAAGCGGCAATTTTCTTTCATTTCTCTACTTACTTCATTTGCATGATTTACATAAACTTAATTTCAAAATCTTTTACTCTCATTAACTAAGAGAAAAATTATTATTGGTCCACTAAAGTTATTATTAACATTTTTAATATCATATAGTCTTCCTTAATCCATCATTTATTTTTATAATTTAATTAATGAATAATCAATCATCCAACCAAACATGATTTTGTCACTATTAAGCCAAGTTTTAGAGGAAGAATTCTTATCTACAAAGAGAATTAATGGATGTTGCAAATGAGGTGTTGCTATGCATTCCATGAAATAAATGACAAGGAATAAGTTGTTCAAGCTTTTATAGAACTTCCATCCATGAGAAACTATCAAAATGTACTTCTCCAAGTTTGATGGGGTCACATGTGGATTCTTGTCACACTATAATGGTGGCTAATTATTAAGCCACCGAGTCATATCTTTCGAATTGATCTCCCATCCTTGTATAAATAACTCTTTCACCTGCTTCTACACTCCACAAAGCAGTTCTAGTTGCATTCCATAGTTATTTTCATGGCTAATCTCTTGCTTCTTTCATGTTTAATCATCATTAGTCTTGTGCTCGCATGCCGAAGGGTAACTGCCAACCCAGAGGCAAGGGCCTTCTTCGTCTTTGGGGATTCACTAGTCGATAATGGCAATAACAACTTCTTGGCAACGAGTGCTCGGGCTGACTCACCTCCATATGGGATTGACTCTCCATCTCATCGACCCACTGGCCGCTTCTCCAACGGGCTCAATTTCGCAGATGTGATCAGTTACGCTAGCTAGCCTCATTACTTTTCTTTTTTTTATCAGCAATAAACAATTTATTTAAAAAAGTACAAAAGATGACAAGTATGGTAGAATAACTAACTAAATTATTAGTGTAAAAATACTTTTTTACTTGTATAATTAGAGTTCAAACTCTCTTTTTTTTTTTTTCACCCCTCCCACATAAGAGTTTTAACTAGTTGTTTGTCCTATGGAAAAAAAGTACAAGGGATACTTAGGTTAATAATTATGTTTCCATAGTACAAACAATCCAATTTTCATGACATAATTCACTATATTTTCAGGTGAAAATCTTGGGTCCGAACCCCCATTACCTTACTTGAGCCCAGAACTGAGAGACGAGAAACTACTCGTTGGTGCCAATTTTGCCTCCGCCGGTGTTGGGATCCTCAATGATACTGGAGCACAATTTGTATATATATAAGCCCAAAATTTAACATAATTTATGAAATTGATCTCATATACTTAAGCTTATATGTTGATTAAAAATGGATATTAAATTTACAGGTGAATATAATCCGAATGTACAAGCAATTGCAGCTCTTTGAGCGCTACCAGGAAAGATTAGCAATTCACTTTGGATCGGAGGAAGCTGAACGCATTGTGAACCAAGCTATGGTGTTGAGCTGTGTTGGAGAAAATGATTTCGTAAACAACTACTACTTGATACCGTACTCCCCAAGGTCTCGCCAATTCTCTATCAATGATTACGTCCAGTATCTTGTTGCTGAGTATCGAAAAATTTTGCGGGTAATTTTTATATTCCCATTCTTCCTTCTCCTTAAGACTCTATTTCGCAAAAATCTTGAAGATTAATCACCATTACTAATGGGTCTAATGTGTGTTCCAAGCATGGAAATCACCGCATTCAAATGCTTATTTTGGTTTATAAAAAATGATTTCTTGAAAATTGTACCATATTTATAGCACGACAATATAGATCTTTAGCCTAACTAAAGATCTAACCATCCCTTAAGGGTAAACAAAAACGGATTATTAGTCAATTTCCAATTTCCTATATATATATA